AACCATCATATTCGAGTCTTTGCACCCGTTGGTGGCCTGTGGCTGGGATTTATAGGCCCCCATTGTTGATACAATAAAACCTGCAAGGCCTTCGTTTGGTTGTACTGCCAGAAGTCCCAACGTAGAAGGTACTTCGGGTCATGCATGATTTTCCTCTCCACCGTAGTTTGGGCCTTTAGCCTCTCTCGGGCAATTCTGGGGCACATCACGCGATCAAAGTTCGTTCAAAATCATAAGGGAGAGACAGGATTTTCTCCGTTGTATGTCCAGACCCTGTACCACTGTACCAAAAAATGATCGCCAGAATCACAAGTACGGAACTTGTCCCTAAACCTTAAAAAGGCCCAAACTGATTCTTAAACCCTCTTGCAATGATCAGTACATTAGGCCCGGCCAGTTGGAGGGTTTAGGGTCTGGGGTCTAGAGTTTAGGGTTTGGGGTTTAGGGTTCAGGGGGTTTAGAGTTTACGGCGGCCTTCAGCATTTCACGGATCAATATGACCTCAGACCTCGCATGCCCACAGCTTAGTAGGCCTAACCCCTGAACTGCAAACCTTAAACCCTACACCCTTAGCCACTAGGTTACTAGGTTCCAGCCACCAACCTCTAGGTAAATGATGGGATTGAGGGTTTAGGGGTTTAGGTTGTAGGGTTTAGGAGATTTAGGGTTTCGAGTTAATTGAAGGGCAACCCAGGGGGGGTGTTAGTATGGGGAGGGGGTACATGAACGTAGCATGTAAGGCATGGGATTTACGGTGCCCTTTTGATATAGAACTTCACCGAAAGACCTAGGCATAAGAATGCATCAGCACTGAGGGAGAAGAGCCTATCAGCATTTCCTGCACCCCAAAAGTATGGACAAAAAACATGGCCTCGTGGGCGGTGTTAGGAATTTTAGTCCCTAAACCCCTGAACCCTAAATCCCTAAACCCTAAACCCTAAACCCCTAAACCCTAAGCCCTAAACCCTAAACCTTTTGGGGCCCAGGTTCTTTAGATACTCTCAGCTCTGCCGGGCCCTAGCATATTAAACTCCCATGATTCCAGGTGTAAGGTACTTAAAGTGACGTGGGGGCTTTTATTCTAGAAGCAAATGTCGCATCTTGCATATCGCCCTTTGAACGCCAGCATAGTTCTGAGGTCGTGGGCTAGCTCATGGAAACTGTTTTGATGAATTTGACAATTTGATGAATTTGACGTTTCAGTGTAGCAGCAGAGTAGGTAACCATTTATTTTTGCCCGGTATGTATTTACATACAGGTTCAGGGTAAATAGTTATAATCCGATTATAACGGTGGTTAGAACCCACTTCTAACCATAGTGTTGAGGCTTAGGGGCCTTGTCTACAAGTAGGGTAGAAGTCATGAACCTCCACACCCTAAAGCCTAAACCCTGAAACTGCAAAGTACCTAAACCCTAAACCCTAAACCCTAATTTAAAAGATCAACTTCTTTCGGTCCTGGGAAGCTTTGCAACTAGGCACCTCACTCAGGATTTGCGGTTTTGAGGATTTGGACCTGCCGCTGCTCTTGAAAACCCTAACCCTTAGGCTCTAAGGACTCATAATATGAGGCTTTTGGCCCCAAAGACCATACTATACAAGGCTTTTGGGCTATTTTGAGCCTTAGGGTAAAACCGCGTGGTATAATCGACCTCCGGCTTGCAGATTTTGTTGCGGGGCTCATCATGCATGCGAAGCACATGCACCAAGAGCAAGCTTCGTCACCTAGCATCTCGCCATCCTCAGACTGCTGGTAAGCAACGCTGAACAAAGCTAGCTCCAGTTTGACGCAAATGCTCATCACATGTACTGTGCATGAAGCACGCGTTTACAAGCAGAGTCTAGCCAGTACACAAGAACTTCTAGAGCGACGATTGCTTTGCAAGCCGTGGACGGGCTGCTGTAGCAGGCATGATGTCGCCCCGGCCTTGGACCAAGTTTTGAAGGGTTTGCCCTCACCCCAAACCAACATGGAAGCTGATGTTGCGCCCTTCTTGGAGGACAGTAGTCTTGAAAGGCTCCAGATACATGATGAGCCACGCGGTTAAGGGTATAGGGTTTGGGTTAGCAAGAGGGCTTGGGTAACCCCACTCCCCATAACAAGAGACCCCCCAAGACTCATTTCATGGTCATTAGGTCCTCATTTTGGGTTTGAGATTGCCAAAGAAACCCGCATCACACCAGGGGTTGTTTGGGGACTCTCTTTTTGAAGTTCTCTTGGGGTCTGGGTGCTCAAGTAGGATGTCAAGGGATGTGTTTGATTTGCTTACAGCGTATGTGGCGCAATGATAATTGGACCCACACATACAGCAAGACCTAGATAGGCTAGCCTCGACCCAATCTGTCCACACTGTTAATATTTGATATTCAGTGAGCATGAACTGCTTTGAGTATCTAATTCTTCGGTTCAAGGCTAAGGGTTTTGTTCCCGCTGTGGTGAAAAAGTATGCAGGCTTGCTGATCAACATTCGTAAGTGTATGCACGGAGCGTCCTACCCATCCAGTAACTCTGAACCCTGAGCCCCAAACCCTAAGCCTAGAACCTAAACCCCACCCTTAAGAGGGGTCCTGGGACTCTTTTGTGCGAAGCCTGAAGCTTCCGTTTCAAGTTTTGTGATTTTGGATTAGACCGTTTAGGATTGAGGGTTCCAGGGTTTGGGATTTAGGGTGAAGGTTAGGGTTAGGGTTTGTGTAGGGTGCAGCGGCCCTCGTTTCAAATGGGATCGGGGAGAGGCACGATGGCGCGCCGCCGCCTCCGCCGCCACCTCCACCTCCTCCTGGACCCCCGCCAGTTGGCGCAAGAGGATTTAGGGTTCAGGGTCTGGTTTCAGAGTTTAAGGGGTTAAGGGTTTAGGGTTTAGGGTATCCGGCCAAGGTTGATTACAAGGGGGATTATGTTGCTAGTTTTTCTGGCTTCAACGGTATGAAGAATAGGGTTCAGATGGCCCAAGAGGGTTTGGATAATAATCTTCCCTTTGTATTAACCCCCACCCTTGAATATTACATGCTTCCATTGTGGCAACTGGGCAACTGGTCTTTTTCAATACATTTGGAATGTGTAAGAATAGGCGTGGGGATTTTACATAGCAGTGGCAGGCGATGACAAAGACCCCCACCAAAATATTCGTGCTTGCTGTCGCAGCCCGTCAATCTTGCAACTCTGAGGAGTTGAGAATCTAGGGTTTAGGGTTTAGGGGTAGCAACCCCTTGTCAACATCCAGACCCCAAGACCTCACACGGGAGCTTCTCAAAATGGCTCCCGTATAGTCCGGGGCAGGCACGTATGCGTGTATACATGCATATATACATGTATACATACATATATATATATATATATAGATATACACATTAGCAAAGGCATTTTCCAAGAGATTCAGTTGAAGCTTGAAAAACTTCAGCTCCAAACTCTAAGCCCTGAACCTCAAATAAGTAGTGCTTTATTTCGGGATACTATGGTACCCAATTTAGAGTAAGATTATATCCCCCTTTTGGGGTATAGTGTTTTATATAAGGAATATGTAATCTTATCGGGTTTAACCACCAAAAAACGCTACTCAAATACCCAAACTCTGAGCCTTGGACTCTAAACTTCCCAAGTCAAGGGTTCCTGGGTCGGACCCCTACTGTCGTACCTCTAAAAAGGTTTCCCCAATATGGCCCCAATATGTCCCGTATATAGCCCTTGGCCAAAGTCTTGCAAGCCAACCCTAAGCCCTAAACCCTAAACCCTAAATCCTGAACCCAAACTCCTGCAAGCTCCACACCCTCAAACCGGAAGACTCTTGCCGACGTACCCCAATAGATTTTTTCTATACAAACCCTGAACTGCAAACTCGAAACCTTAAAACCAAACCAGAAGCGCGTCGACAGTTACCTGAATCCCTACCTGGGCTCCAAAAGTAGGTAAAAGAATAGCCCAAAACGACCAAAAACATCCCAAACGACAATTCCTGTACATACCCCAGAATTTCAGGCAAGGGTATGTGAAATTGGGCTGTTTGTGAGTGTTTGGGACCACGAGTTTACCCACTTTGGCAGGTTCAGGTACACAATCTTTGCCTGATTTCCCTTACGCCCATACCCTAAATTCGAACCCTAAACCCTGAACCCTAAACCCTAAACCCTCAGCCCGTGTTTAAGGCCTCCGGATGTGCCAGTGATGACGCACCCTGCAGTGTCTGTTGTGAACCTTTGGTCGGATTCAGGCATGCCATGACCGAATCGATTC